CAGGCATACAGATAAAGGGCTGAAATTAAGGTGACAAGTGGAGATGGGATTGCAGAGGAAGCTTTCTCAGAACAAGCTTGGTTCAGCTCGGGCAGCATTTCTCACAGGAGAATGGCTTTGCTTGGATTATGATGGAACTATCCCACAGAAAGGGACAAAGCAAGAGATAGTAAGGAGCAATAAAAAACTGCTGGTGCCAAGCGCTGCCTGCACAGCGCATCTCATGGCTGAGCAGAATCATAAATATTTAAAGAAGAAAAAAAAGTGCACTGCTAGCAGAGGAGTTAAGTGGTGTGAATGTCTTCAGCTTCTCTGGCTGTTTTACAAACGGTTAGAAAGAATAACGTTTGCCTTGTGAATAAGTAACGAGCTGGTAGGAAGTATTAGAAAAGCATTATTCTGGAATGCAGATGCTGCATTCAGTCTTTGGTATCCATGGCACCTTGGAGTGCCCTGGGCACTGAGCATGGCACACACCCAGTCATTTTCTTTAAGTGCCCGGGAATTTGTTTAGTTGCTGTTCAATCAGATCTGGTCTGGGGCTGACATTGGTAAGGTAATTGGTGAGTTACAATGACTGGTGCAACTGTACCATACACAGGGACATCAAACCACGGTACCTCAGTTCTGTACGTATGTGCACTGCCAGGTGGTGAATGATCAGAGAATGGCCTGGGTTGCAAAGGAGCACAGTGCCCATCACTTCCAACCCCTGCTGTGTGCAGGTCACCAACCAGCAGCCCAGGCTGCCCAGAGCCACATCCATCCTGGCCTTGAATGCCTGCAGGGATGGGGCATCCACAGCCTCCTTGGGCAACCTGTGCCAGTGCCTCACCACCCTCTGTTTGAAAAACTTCCTCCTGATATCCAACCTAAACCTCCCGTGAGCTGTCTGGTGTTTCATACAGACTTGTAAAATCACAGAGAAAGGACAGAGTGCATCTGGATGGAGGCTGTTAGGATCACCTGGTTGGGTTTTACACAGTTTTTACTGAGTTTGAAATAGTAGTCTCAGATGTAACAAACCACAGAGTGCTTTTGGTGGTTTGGAGGTCTGTTAAACCTGTGTTATGTTCTTGCAGTAAGATAGGAAAGGCAGGGATCTCTGCTACAGGGTCGTTAATTAACCAGTTGACTTTGAAAGTCAGCTGTGCAAACTGTTGAAAATTAACAGCTCTCACTGTCTGAAGTTTTTATTTTGGTGTAGCAGCATCTGCTTGACTTTGCATTTCCATTTCACAGGGCTTCTTTAAGTGCATGTTTGGAAGTTCCATGAGCTTCGAGCCATGCTGGATAGGGCTGCTCCTGGCACCTCGATCCACAGAATCCTCGATGCTGCTCTGACGTTTGTCGTTCTGTAGTCATGCAGTGGCACTGAAAACTTCTGCAGAAATGTTTCTACTTCTTTTCAACATGGTTTTCCCTCCTCCTTCACGCAAAAATTGAGCTGCTCTGTGTTCTGTCGATACACCTGCCTTGCTGTCATTTCATACACACTAATTCCTCTCTGTTGGTTTCCTTTGCTCTCAGCTTCACCGCTGTTTTCATCCAGCCTTGAAAGCAGTTCCCATTTGCCAGGTGCCCAGTACGTGTCTCTCAGTCCCTCCTTTAATGTGCCCTTTCTCCAGCTGCTGAATAGTTCATGGTCATCACCTCTGGATCGTTGCCATAAGATAATGAAGATGCTGCCATTCTTTTGAGCCCCAGATGAGTGCTTTCTGCATGTTTGAACCTTAATTTTGCACCTTTCCTGTTGCAGGAGGTGGGTGAGCCATTCAAAGAGGAGAAGGCTGTTGCTAAATACTTACGGTTCAACTGCCCGACAAAATCCACCAACATGATGGGCCACCGAGTGGATTACTTTATTGGTAGGTTACTTCTAACCAGAGAATGGTACTGCTTCTGCTAACATTGCACTGGGGAGGAGGGATTTTGTTTTCAGTATTAGTGCTTTATCTAGTAAGTCTTACAGTATGGAAAACTTATCTAGACATTCGATAGCTGTAAAATTAATCAGATCTGAAATAAACACAGTTAACTTTATCCTCTGTGGTTTAGAAGCAGGTAGTTGTCAAGTGCTTCAGAGCAGTACCCACTTGTTTATCTTAAAAATGGAGAGGGTGCCAAACATCACCAGGATAGACTGACTGGCGTGGTGTGGTTCAAGGAATGTAGATGATGATCACACAAACGTTTAATGTTTGGGGATTTTTCCCCCACTTTTTCCTCCAGCCTCGAAAGCTGTGGATTGCCTCCTGGATTCCAAGTGGGCACGGGCCAAAAAAGGAGAGGAAGCTTTATTTACAACTCGAGAGTCTGTAGTTGATTACTGCAACAGGTACGACCTAATTCATCAACTTTAATAATAAGTATAGCTGTCAAGATGCCTGAGTTACTCAGAACCACTTTTGCTTAGGCTGCTTTGATGAAGGGAACTCACACACTGTGAGACGTTTGTGTTACTACGTAAAAATACAGATTGCGTTTTTATTACTACGTTTGAGGGTGTGAGATGAGAAATAGACACAACGTAGCTTCATGATCTTTGTTCCCAGAACTCTCACGCTTTCATTAAGCTGTTTGGTGCAGCAAGTTCCTAAATGGTAAAGTTTTAAGTAGGTAGGATCAGAATTCTCACATCTCCTCCCTCTGTCTGCCATGATGGCAAAAGCAGAACTTTGAGGCTCTTGTTAAGCCTCTCTTGTGGTATGTCCATCACTCAGAGTGCTCAGAGTGCTTTGCTTAGATGAGCAGCATATTCTGACTTCTCCCCTTTTTTGGGGCTGCATCTTACTCTTGAAGAGCTTTGCAAAAGCCACTTAGAAATTAAGTTTGTGGCTAATACTTAGTCTGTTCTTGGGACCCCTTTCACATAGCCATTCAGCAAGGTGAGATTCTGCCCTCAATTCTAGGGCTGAAGCAGAGCTGCTTCAGTGAACTTTAATCCCTGCGCTACTTTGTCAAGAAAATGTAGTGAAATACAAACATTATATTAATGCAAGCAGAAAAATAAGTCTTCCTTTCAGGAATCTTTGGACCGAGGTAAGTGCCTGTACATTTGTTCTTTGATCACTGAAGCCTCAGGTGAGACAGTAGTCCTTCAGGCTAAGTCCTTCAGGCCCAGCACTGCAATGAATGCCTACATAGTGTGCAAATAAAATGAATTTGACTCTGCTTTTTGCCACCAGCATCACTTGGTGCACTGATGATCCGCTGGGCACCATGCCATGGCTGCAACTCATCTTCTCTTGCAGACTCTTAAATCACTGATAATGATAAGACCACCTTTGGCCATCAAAATTGCTCTCAGGGTTTTGAATGTGAGCCCTGTAGTCCCTTCAGGATAAGGTTGTTTAGGCACTTATTCATATTAAAAGCAAGTGCTTTAACTCTTTTGGTGTAGCTTTCGCGATTGTTTTGCCCCTCCTGTCCAACAGAAAACAAGGATCAGATTCTGCTCCCTCATCCTGTGTCAACTGCATTGAATAGTTCCATATTTAAAGCACTTTACTGCCTGAATTCATTATACTCCTCTAGTGCATAAGGTCTCCCAGCACACTTAACATATTGATCTTAGTTCAGGAAGTTTTCCCATGCAGGGATTTGGCACGGATAAACTGCAGCAATAATGCTGCATTCAGCAGATCTAAAGAGAGCTGAGAGGTTGGGAAAGAGCTGCCCTGAAGGCCATACCTGTGGACTGCTCAGTACCTGAGCCACCCTAAGCATACAGCTGTGAAGAAAATAGCTGCTCCCAAGAAAGTGATTTTTCTGCTGCTAGAAACTACGTAAACAGTTGTCTGAAGAAAGGTTTCTTTTTTCTGTGGTCAGATTGTTTTTCTTTTTAAGCATATCCGTGTCCTGGTTTTGTCTGGGATAGAGATGATGGTAGCTGGTATGGTGCTGTGTTTTGGATTTCAGATGAGAATTGTGCTGATAGCACGCTGATGTTTTGGTTGTTGCAGAGCAGCGCTGCACAGAACCAAGGACTTGTCAGATCCTCGTGCTGCCCTACCAGCGACGAGCTGGGAGGTGGCACAGCCAGCACAGCTGACCCAAACTGGCCAAAGGGATGTTCTGTACACACAGCTTCATGCTGAACGATAGAGCTGGGGGAGTTGCCACTGCTCTGGGCAGTCAGTTTACCTAATTTAACAAGCAGTCCAGCATAAGGACCTGATCTGCAGCAAGAGATGAAAGAAATCAAGTACAAACCAAACCAGTCTGATGTATGGGGCCAGGCTTTCTGAGGTGAATTGGCCCTTGGATTTCATACGCCATTGTTTGCCCTCGGTCTGAAGAGCAGCATTCTGCTCTTCCTGCATGGAACTGGGGTACGGTCCTTTTGTGGACGTTACCTGTTGGTGACAGCTTTGAGACTGCCAAGTGCCACCTCCTTTGGCCCAGCTGAGTATGCTCATGCTGTAAGGTATGTCTGTAGCTGACGTGACTGGAATGCTTGCACAAGTGCCTCAGTTCCAATGGTACTTTTACTCAACGTGCATCTCTTACCAAGACCTCTATGTCCACTTCCTTATTTTTGCAATGAAAGACACTGACCTGCACTTGCAAATAAACATTGGATTAATGGGAAAGCTAATTAAATTGGCCTGATGGCTTTCTCCTTCCTACATCCCTACATCTCACGTATTCTTCTATGTCTGTTCAAAATGCAGCCACAGAAGAGTATGGGTTTTATTAAGTTTTGAACAGGTGAAAAACAGAGCCAAGCAAGAGATGAGAGACATGGTAGTTCACAGTGGTGATCAATGTCATTCAGTTTTACTTTACAAGATTATTTTTGATAGGTAATTCAGACTGGTATCTAATAACATAGTTGCATGATTATTCCAGCCTTAAATATGTCATTTAACCTTTTTCATTTTAAGACTCCTGAAAAAACAGTTCTTTCATCGAGCATTGAAAGTGATGAAAATGAAACCTGACAAGGATACAAAGAAAGAAAAGGAAAAAGGAAAGGCTGAGAGTGGGAAAGAAGAAGAGAAGAAAAGCAAGAAGGAAAGCAGCAAAGATGAAAAAACTAAGAAGGAGAAAGAAAAGAAAAAGGATGGTGAAAAAGAGGAGTGTAAGAAGGTAAGTGAGGTCTTTGAGAAAAGAGACAAAGCTGTCAACAGAGAATACAGTGAGTGATGTTGTGAAGATTACATGGGCTTAAAAGTTCAGTTGGTTGTTCCAAAGTATGAGATGCTTTTTTTTTTCCTTTGCCAATCTTAGTCTCTAAAAATACACCTTTTTACATTTTGGAGTTGTAGTTCTGATTCAGATCAAAGCAGACACTTCATTTGTGCCTCTGTGTACCTCATCATCTTGTAACTTGGGCTGAGTTAATAAAAAACTGTTTCTGTTCAGCTTGGGTGGGCACCGATGCTTTGTGCACGTGTGCTGTAGCATAGATTGACAAGTATGTATGTGACCTTACATCTCAAAGCAGTGCAGCTGCACACGTAAAACAAAGGAGCATTTTTGCCATGTTTGGTGGTAAGAAAGTTTGGGATGTGATACTTGGTGCTTGTGAATAGTTCTGCCATGTTGGTGTAAGGGAGATCGGTCTGTAATCTGCACAGTGCTTACACTTCACAGACCTCTCCTCTCCTTTCTTTACAGTTGACACTTGGTGAAGAGGGGTGTGTTTTGTTGTGTGTTTTGTTCTGTGTTCAGTGGATCCAGCAGGAGTTGGTAGGATAGCCTCAGAAGTTAGTCCACCTCCAACGGTCTGAAGTGAGGTACTGGCACACAAAGAAAGGCGCAGTCTGCCTGCACAAAGGTCTGGATCTCAGAAGAAAGTTGCAGGGCCAGTAAGGGAATTATAAACAAAACCAACTCGCAGACAGCCTAAACAAAGAAGCCAGTATAAGATACCTTAAAATGCTGATACTGGAAGTTATGAACTCCTCCAGTTCCCTGTTATCTGAAGTATTACATTATTAAATGTTAATTTTTAATCACTAATTATCAAACTGATATTTTAGTAGCTGATGTAAGCCAGTGGATACTAACTTAGCAGAGGGCAAAAATTAGAAAGTTTATTTCTAGCAAAGAGAAAGGAGACAGGAGGTAGGGAAGAGAGAAGCACAAGACATGAAGAACTGAGGAAGGTAGAGAATAAAATGGCAGAAACTGATTCTGAAAGATGCCCATGTGGTAAATGTGGCACCAAGCTACCAAATAATTGCAAGAGAGTTGGTGGTCTGTACACAGCCTGTTCTGTCAGTGGAGCTTTGATAAGCATTTGAACACATGATGCAGTCCTGGGGTTATGGTCTTGTCCTTTGATAGCATGTAAAATAAAATGTCTCTGTCCTTACAGTATTCCTTTATCTTTAGCTACCCAGGAGCACAGAAGGAAATAAAACATCTTTAGTTATGGTCATTATGATCATAGTTATGAGCATTTGATATATATTTATATATATTTAAGTTTGTGAAAAGCTATCAGATTCAATATGTTCAAATACTGGAAGTTAAGACCCTGTGTGTGCTTTTTATGTATAGTTTGTGTTTGTCCTCAGGATGAGACCCCAGGCACCCCGAAAAAAAAGGAAACTAAGAGGAAATTTAAGCTTGAGCCACACGAAGACCAAGTTTTCTTGGATGGAAATGAGGTAAGATCTGTGGGTACTTCCTAAATTTAATGTCAGTGTATTGTTGTCAGATAACCTAGTGGAATTCCACAGTCTCTCTCTTGTCTCGTTGAAGGAAGAAATAATAATATGATGGCTGATCTTGCAAGATCAAATTTTAGATATCTGCAAGGAGATTAGATGTCTGATAAAAACCACAATTCCCAGTGGTTTATGTTTGTGGCCATGAAGTGAAACAGAATATTAAATACTTCTGGGCGCATCGCTCTGAAGTCTTACTGCCTTTTCTTAGGTGACCTTTGGTAGTTTGCATCAAGTCCTCCTCCGAAGGCTCCTGCTTACTGGTACTTGGTTTCTTTGAATTGTGACTGTGAAAACAGTTTAGTTGGAGAATAAAAATAAAACTAATTGAAAACACTACCAGGAAGCATCTTTCCTAAGGCTGAACAACGCTGGTTCGGATGGAGCCAGAATCCTCGTGCAAACATTTGGTATTGAGCATTGCAGCTGTATGAGCATGATGTGGCAGAGGGTACAGATGTAGTTGAGGGCAGCAGATGGGACTTGAGCTGAGTTGAGCACTTCAGCTTGATGTCCAGACATTGTCTTGTTTGGTTGTTTTTGTTGGTGGTGGTTTTCTGTTTTCTTCCTCTTAAAGGAAGCTCTTCAAAGCAATTTATTTTTTTTATTTGGCAGACTTGAGAAGTGTTTTTATTTTTACAAAACTTTTTCTGTGCTTCATGCTGAGCAGTACTGATGCATAATGGAAAAACAAACAAAAATACAAGAGAAATCACCTTGATTCAGTAATACTCTGAATCTTGCATTTCCTCCAGTTTTACTGCTGGAATGTTCATGTCACCTGTAAATTAATCTGGGTAATAACTTATTTCTTAAGCTGTTATAACTTATGAAGTAATTCTTCAACAGCTGCATTTTGAAACTTCTCATGTTTTTCTTAACCAGCCCAGAGCTGCACTCCCTCCCAGCAGGAACCCTTCCCTTCCAGCCACTGCACTGCACAGTACCTTTGGCTCCTGCCCTCAGGCTCAGATTGTGATCAGTACATGCCGAGGCAATCAGTGTAGGCATGCAGGCATGCAGCCCCATGGCTGTCTGTTTTGGCAGCTTTCTCACTGACACAAACCTGTTTCAAGTGCTATCCAAAGTGCAGTGCTTCTTATGGCACCCCTTGTCCTCCTTTGGTACTGACTGAAGCGCGGTTGGTTCAGTGCAAAGCAGGAGGGTGGCACTAAGAATTTGAGCGAGGGGAAAAAGAAATGCTGTATCAGAGAGCTTTTTTTTTTTTCCCAAGTGTTAAACATGATTTCTGTTGTAGGTGTATGTGTGGATCTATGACCCTGTTCACTTTAAAACGTTTGCCATGGGACTTGTACTTGGTAAGTAAGAGCAGGCGTTAGCGAGCGCACCGTAAATGCAGGCATGTACCAAACAGGAGTGCCTCTCCTTGGAGAAATGTATCTTCTTCCTAGACAAAACTTTTTCCATTCTGTTGTAGCGTGATTTGACAGCAGTCACATTATGTGAAGTGTGATCTTGGGATGCAGGGAAACAGCAAATAAAGTAAAAGATACAGAAGATGACATGGCTGAAGTTTGCATTAGAAAATGTCTGAATTTGCACAAGGTTGCAAGCTGTTCATTTCAGTTACTTTAAACCATAAGTCTCCCCATAGGCAACTGTTGTGGATTATCTACAAATGTGAATATAGTAAAGCCATTAGCGAGGTCGCAGCTGATGGTGCTGCTAATCCAGCACCCCGACCTGTACCTGTTAGTACCTGTTAGCTTTTCACAGCAGAGAACCAGAAGTGTCACCTCCCGGGGCTGCATTCAGCCCTCTGATCAGTTGGTGGTGCCCAAGGACTGCACCCAGCTCACTCTGCCTTCTTCCTGCTGGGCAGGTTACAGGCAGCTCCCTGCTCACCTATTTGCTTTTTGCCTTGTCAGAAATGTTCTCTCTGGTGCTCAGGTACTTGCTGCATGTGGTATTGTCCCAGATGTCTGCCTGCCCATAATGAAAGCAGCAGTGGGACTAGAAAAGGTTTCAGTCAAGGTGTAAAACAGTATTATCTAACTCATATGTTGCTAAGCCAGTGCCTTGAATAAACGGTAAGCCTGGAACTTTCATACGTGTGTCAGGAAGAACTAATTATGTTTCTCATACTTTTTATCTTTCTATTCAGTGATTGCTGTTATAGCTGCAACTCTGTTTCCACTTTGGCCAGCAGAAATGCGTGTTGGTGTATATTACCTCAGCGTAGGTGCAGGCTGTTTTGTAGCCAGTATTCTTCTTCTTGCTGTTGGTAAGTGTCAGTAGCCTTCATTTCCTCAGTAGGTGAAATCTACAAGAGCAGAAACATACCATGCACTAACATGTGCGAATCTCTGTTACATCTGATTAATTTGTTGTTAGCAACAGCTAGACTGATTCTGTGTCTGTATTTCCCAGGTGGCCACTGGGTGTCAGAGTTGTGCCACAGAAGGAACAAAATCTCCAGTTCGTGTCACTTATTTGTGTTTCCTGTATAGCACAGATTTTACTTCCTCAGTTTAAAACCAAGCAAAAAAATAGAAACCAAGAAGCCCATGCAAAACCAAAGCCAGAGCATAAAAAGAGATTCTGGAGTAGGAATGATATAACCAGGGTTTGAAAGCATTAAAAGCTAAATCATAGATGATATATGATTACTGGGGGCAGGGGAAAGGGCTTGGTAACAGAAATGAGAGACTTTTCCCAAAGCTTGTTGCTGTTGTGGCTTTGTGTGCATGTTAGCATGACTTACCAGACATCATTGTATGTCTTGAATGCTCCAATAACAAATCTTCAAACTGTTTTCATCCAGCTCGCTGCATCCTCTTCCTCATCATCTGGCTCATCACCGGGGGAAGGCATCACTTCTGGTTCCTGCCAAACCTTACGGCAGATGTGGGATTCATTGACTCCTTCAGGCCCCTGTACACACACGAATACAAAGGACCAAAAGCAGACTTAAAGAAAGAGGAAAAATCAGAATCCAAAAAGCAGCAAAAATATGACAGCGAGGAGAAATCAGACAGTGAGAAGAAGGAAGAAGAAGATGGGAAAACAGAAGCAACGAGGAACTCGGGAACGGAAGGCTCAGGAGGAGAGCGGCATTCAGACACAGACAGCGACAGGCGTGAAGACGACAGGTCCCAGCACAGTAGTGGAAATGGAAACGACTTTGAAATGATCACAAAAGAGGAACTTGAACAGCAAACAGACGAAGGGGATTGTGAAGAGGAAGAGGAAGATGACACCGAAAGCAGGCCTGCACAGAAGTCATAACTCGCTGTGCTTGTGGGACTAAGTATGTGCAAAGGGTTGGATTTTCTTTGTTGGCTGATCACCAAAACATAGACCGTACAGTAGCATCTTTGTTTGCTGAAATATACGTGTTACCAAACAGTTTTATATCTAGTTCCTTCATTTTTTAACCATTAACTTGATTACTTGGTACTATGTTAATCATTAATATACATTTACAGAAGTTTTATCAACCTGACAAGTTTTCTATTGATTAATAGATTGCCCAGATCGTCCTCAAACACTGAAAACCACAGCTGTCTGGTACTTGCATAGCTGGTCAATTAGTTCTGCTTCTCAGACTTCCTTTTGTAAAACAGGTAAAAGTTGAATGACCAAATCTCAGATTATTCCTAGTTCTACTCATTTGATAGCTAGTTAGATAAAGCCCTTCTTAGCCCACAGCTTTCTTGATACGTTTCTTGATTTCCTTTTCAAAAGATTGTGAAAACTTTCCTAAAGAAAAGTAGTTTTAGCAGAAGTATTTTGCTGAAAATATACAAGCTGGTAGTGCTGAATTTGGCTGCAGTGTTCTCTGTTTCTCCAGACTGTGTGCCAGCAACTTAGGAAATCCAAACTGTTTTTGTACATCTGGTTCAGAGAAAGATGTCATCTCCAGCAGGTGAAGGAAGCAGCGTGGTTTGGAAGTAATGGCTGTTTTCTTCCTCCTGCTCCATCATAATTAAAAAAAAAAATGTATTCTGTACATAATTTACAAATAAAGCAAACCATTTACTTTATCTGCTACTTATTATTTAGAGATTTGATCCAGCATTCAGTTTGTATTAATAAAGCCATTTTGTGGTGTGTCTATCAGAGAAAATGCAAGTCAAGAGGACCTCACAGAATATTTGTGTATGATCAGTAGCTGTTCCACAAGAGCTTTAGTTTTGTGCCAACATTCCATGTATTTGAGTATGAGTAAATTGATCCTTATTAAATGAAAGCAAACAACATAGCTGTATGTATGCCTTAATGTTAAAACTTTCTATTTTCTGGAACTGGAATACTTTTTAAACAGAAGAGACGGGAGAGTATTCGCTTGTTCAGAAATATAGATGATCAAAGCTACTATGAAGTGATGATAAATAATTTGTTTATAAATATCTTGGAGTAGTTTGTGCAGTTTCTCTTATGCATTCCTTATCTGTTGGATGTTTGGAGGATATGCTGTATGTTTTGGCTAACTAAACATTTAAGAAGTTAAAACTTGGCATCATTCCTCGAGATCACTTCAGCCCAAGCTGTAGATTTCATTGTTTCCTGCACTAACTCACAGAAGATAAGGGTAACCTTATCTTAGCTGTACTAACTCAGCACTTCTTTTCACTCCTAAATTGCTTCCCCTTCCTTCCAGTGATTGCATTTTGGATGAAGAGACCTATTTTTGTGCAAATACGTTTTAATGGCTGGATTGATGGCTCGTGGACATGGTGTCACTTATTCCCTAAATCCAAATGTTTGATCTCTAAGAAAACAACAAATTGGACCACTTCTTAAATGAGTAGAACATAAAAATTAAAGGGCCCATTACAGAAATAGTTTGACTTTTGGACACTTGTTAGTTATTTTAATTAGTTCTGACTTACAAAGTCCTGTCCCCACCTTCATTACCTTACTGAGATCAACATTATGTGATGGTAAAGGTCTCAGCTAATTTCACTCATTTCAGCAGCTATTTTAAGGTGCTCTTTATGCTTTGCTCATGCAGGTGCAGTTTTCTTTGTGCCTGCATTTTGCATCCTTACGCCTAGAGCTGAGAATAGAACTGCAGCCCTTTGTGCAAGAACCTTCAGCTGGCTGCCTCTGATTTACAGCACATCTGACCTTAAGAGCAACTCTAACTGCAGCCCGCTAGCTAACTTACTGTTTACCATACAAGAGCAGAATTATAAAGTCTTTTTTCTACTGCAGACGTTCCTGCAGTTCATTTTGTTGGATTCCTGCTGCTGCCAACAGGAGCTGAAATAAGTTTGGCTGGTCTCTTGCAGGTGTATCTTTCAGAAGGCGTTTGCACTTTGTGCTTCAGAGAGCACTGCTGTGCACTGAGCGCTGTGGAAAGCTGATATGGCAGCAGATCTAGCAGCAGGCAGCTGATTGGCACTTCTTGGAGAAACTAACAGTGGATGTTCGTTGTTCTCTCATAAAAGTGGAAAATACTCTTGTTTTTACTCAGTGAGAAGTTGAAATGGCAAAATAGGACTTAATTTAGTAATACTGCCACATGCTGCCTGTTAGGTGGATGTGTGACATGGCAGTGATGTGCACCTGTGCCTGGAGACAGGGATCTAGGTTACCAAACGCATGAGAAACGTGTACTGTCACCCTAAGGAGTTCCAGGCTCACACAGTGTAGAAATTGAATTAACCTGCAGCTCCTTCACTTGATCTGCTGTGAACAACTGAATAGCAAAGTAGCAGTGTGAAGGAAGAGACCTTGGTGGAGGTGCTCAGTGGTTGAGTAAAGGACTTGACGACCCATTACTGTAACCAAGCATTGTCCACAAACATTCCCCAAATACTTCCAAATCAGAATGAGACAATGACACAAGATCACAATATGCTCATAACAAAACTGTGAGTGCACTTACAAACAAGTCAGAGAAAATCACAGAGGTGCTTACCCAGCGTGTAGCTCCCTGCTGGGCCACTGCTTCCATCACTTACTGCAAAGTAACTTCTGACTGGTACTGCCTTGACTGCCAGCAGAGGTGCCCATAGCATGTACACTATGTATAAACACACAGATATGTTAGAATGGTATTTAAACAACATCTGAACATCAGTGGCTATTAAAAGGCCATTGCAAGGACTGACAAAACACCCTTATGCAATAAAACTGTACAGTGGTCTCGCTGATTTTAAGCCCAACAGTCTGTGTGCCCAATATAATTTTCTGATTGTTTTTCCGTGCAAGAAAATAGATTACACTTAGCTCCTGGAGGAATTAAATAATTACTGGCAAAACAGAAAATGGTACTTACTGCAGATCAGTTTCTGTGGGCACGTTTCAACCATACAGCAGTTTTCTCTGACATTTTTGAAATACCCATAAAGTCTCTGCATATATATGCACTGCTCGCTTATAGCCATTTCAGTTTCTGTTTGAAAGCAATGCTGAACTTTCACAGAGCAGCATACACCATGAGGGTGGCAAGAAAAATGAAGATTGCTTCAATTCTTCAATCAATTGCTAAACTACATTTTAACCATAACTTACCTCCTTTGGTTACAACAGGAGAAAGGCTGACAAGCACCTGCCTTGCTTAAAACTAAGCACAGAATATGCAAACATTACATGTAGAAATGTTGAAAATATTGCTGCCTGGCTTAGCCCCTTGTTTTCCTTCCTGCAACCACCTGCACATCTCAGCACATTATACACTGTGGAGCAAAGCTGTCTGAGCTTGAAGGGTTGCCCTCCAGCTGCTATGTGAATATATCTTCTCTAGTAGGATCACACAGACAGCAAAGCAATATTCAGACCTCACAGTTGGCATCAGAAGCAATGGAGGAACATCTTCCAAATGCAGCTGTTCTACTGGCAGAAGTTGGACATCCCTGTCAGAATCCACCTCGGATCTGTTTTCAGACTCAGTTTGAGGAGCTCAATGTAGGCAGTAAATCCCTTCCACCTTCCTCGCAGCCCTTCCCTGCCCTTTATGTCCCTCACGCAGTTGCTGAGCTGCTTCCCCTCACTATCCCTGCTCTGTCACTCTCTGTGCAGCAGCCACCAACCTAAGCAATTTACCAACTGAAACAAAAGCACCACCTGGAAAAAGGACCGTGGTGGAAAAGAGAAGCCTCAGTACCTCCTGCTCTCTTCACGGAGCTGTCACATGAGGACAGTCCAGCTCTTCCATCACAGGGTGGACCTGGCTCTTCATAACAGGGCTACAGCCTTCCCCCCAAATTTCCCTCGTTCTGACCTATGCCCCCTATGCTGCTATGCACCGCCATTAGCTGGGAGTAAATACAGGTTTTCAGTCCACCCTAATTTGCACAACATCCTCCCTTTCATGGAGCAGACGCCTCGGCACGTGGCCTTTTGGGCCAGCTCTGCTGCAGGAGCTCGTGGCTTTGGCTCAACTTCTGGAAGGCCAGTATTGCTTTGCTTTCACGTACTCGAGTTTAAATTCTTCACAATGGATCCACAAATACGTAACATCACAGATTACGATCAAATACTTTAAAAGGAACCTGAAGAGAGTGGTATGAAACACCCCAAGGCTGTGCTGCACACCAGGACTGCACTGTGGCTTCTTCACTTCACACGTAAGGAATGGGACAAAACAGCCTTATCGGTGTAAACAAACTCAGGCTGAGCAGCTGCTGGATGCTTTCAATAGACTTCCTGGTAATGGCTGGTACAATTTCATTAGGGCTTCTCGTTTTATTTAATAAAACATTGGATGATTTTATTTGTAGTACAGCAACAGGTGCAGGAAAACAAAGGACACATTTCCTGATCCGATTGTGTCCACAAAGAGGCCATTACTCATGGGCTGACACAGCGGGCATTCATTTTGTCATGTGTATTTCTTACATGAAAGTAACGACCAGGCAAGAAAAACAACTGTTTTATGATAAAGGACTTTGGAGATGAGTTGGAGTTAGCAACAGTGCAATGCAAATAGTTTCAGTGTAAGTTCAAGCGAAGAGCGAGATAAAAGTATTCAGTTGACACTGATCATGCTTTAGGTACAGATTGAAATACATGGTACAGGTGGTATCCATCACTAATCCTCATCACGTAAAACAGAAACCAAACACAAAAAAAGCCTGAGTTTATGACCCTAAGGAGTGCTATGCAGCCAGGATCCCACAAAGGGTGCAGGTGCACTCCACCAGATAAGAACTGGGTTTTATGAAGTATTGCTGCCATGTAATTTTCATATTACATGTAATTTTCAGAGCCTTATACTTCTGTTTTTCTTTCAGTACTCTGAGATCCTCCTTATGACAAAGAAAGGTACAGAAAAGACTGCAGTGCCATGATGAGCACTGGGAAAATCATGCCTTTTGCAGTGAGAACATGCTGTGATCACACAAATCGAAATACTACTTCCAAAAAACACACCAAGGCCGGCATCAGCCTGCCAGCCAGAGCCACTTATTCTGACATGCTCGTGTCTTCTGAGTGGGAATAACATGCACATAACAGCAACAATAGAAAGAACAGTCCGTGCCTTCAGAAATCAAGCAAGAATATTTCTTCTCTTCTCTATACCTTCAGTAACAAAGCAGTTTGTTACCTTTACCTACTCCTTACTTCTTCAGAGATGCAAAACCTAAGATGAGAAAGAAGGAATGCATACTGTGCTTTTAAAAGGCTCTTGAATACATAGAAATATCTTGTAAATGGGACTCTGGTCAAGTATTTTCTTCATTAAAAAAGAAGCTGTCCCTTAGCACACTTTTCTTAGTTAACGCCTTTATTAAAATCTTCATAAACACCCTCCTGTCCTTCTGAGAGGTGGCATTTCAGGAACACCAAGTGCACAACTGCAGGAGACCTGCTCATCAGGTCATTGCAAAACTCAAATTGCCAATCCTGTGCTGACAAATCCTGGGATGATTAAGGATTAATCCTGTTCTGCTAGGTAACACCCAGCGAAAGGCATACCCGGGAAACAGAGAAGGATACAGGAAAGGCTCTATCAGATGGGCACCCATCTGCACATCTCCTGCAGCTGGTCTCCTGCTAGCTCTGCTCATGGCTCTTATGTCCATTCACACACATTAACTCCGAGCCCAAACCTTTGGAGTTTCTCATAACAACTTTTCCAGGAGTTCACAGCCGATACCTTTGCCCTCACGTGACAGCAAAGTGCATAAATATACATTTGATCTCCCGGTTCCCACGTGGCTCGAGGCATCCCAGACATCTACGTAAGACTTCTTGAAACACACAAGGATGAGATGCACATTTCTGCCTTCCTGAATATAGGGTAAGAAGGCAACCAGATTTTGAAGCACAACAAAGCCCAGATAGGAAGAACTGGGGAAAAAGATTTGAGGCTGACTACCTAGGAATCATTACCACGATGTGATGAACACAGGTTAGGAAGCTGTGCTTGTTATCTGCATCTGCCCTTGTCTCAAGGGAACCTCGCAGCCCTCAGTCAGGCAGTGCTGAGGATGAAACAGATGCAGCAGAAACTCCACTGCAAAGAGAAACTTGTGAGCCATGGGACTGAAGAGCTGAGCTCTGTCACAGGTGGAGGTAGAGAGCAGAGCACAACACCGTTCCTTGAGAAGGGTGCTGGCTGCATCCAGTCTCTCTCCTCTGTTTCTTTCAGAAATGGATCAAGTTAGATTTGAAGTTAAAGCTCTGTCTTGTTTCCTTTCCCATTCTCATAAAATCCTACACTCACAGCTAAGTTTAACAACAGAAACCAAACTACCATCAAACAGCAGAAGGAACCAGAACCTGAAGAAGCATCTACAAAAAATTTCTTTCAAGTACAGGGGACACAGAATCCCAACATGACCTTGCAAAGCAACTTTTGCAAGAGGTCAGCGGTGTCATTTCAAGCACCCACCTCCCAGAAAAGATCTTCCATGTTTTCACACACAGCTGCAAACACACATTCATTTCTCAGCCTTTCTGGAGTTGTGCACACATGAATGCAGCTGCCTTCATCAAGCAGGATGGGCTCAAGTCATTATTTAAGAGGACAGCATTTGTCAAGTGCCTGCGAGTTTTCCTGCAGTTGTAAACTGAGCAGACACTGAAGATGAACCTGGCCTAATTCAATAGAGAGTGCAAAATGAGAAGGAACTGCTAATGCAAAAGCAATGCATTTGGTCTTGATGGCATCCATCTTGCATTTCAGCCTGCTTGAAAAGTTCTAACATTAACGTGGGGATGCTTGGTGCAGTAAGGTTATCCCAAAGCACAGATTGTGCAAAAGCAGCTGCCAATGCCTCCTTCCCACAAAAGAGCTACACTGCAAGGGTCTCTGTGAGCCTGTGGGGCACACAGAGCCTGCTCAGAAAGCTTGCAGGGCACTGAGCTGACACACGAGACTGTGCTAACATCTTTATCAGCAGAAAAGATTCCAGAGCACCTGAGAGGAAACCGCTCTCAGAACAGGTCTCACCAGCCACGTGGTGCTTTTGTACGCACAGGCCAAACATGGACAGATTCAGCACTGATTTAGCCTGCGAGAAAGGCAATTAAAAATGCTTCCCTCTCAATGGACACCAAACACACTAAGAATACAGCTGCCCTGATGCTCTGACCCTATAAAAGATGTAAGTCAAATTGGGTTCAGCATCACATCCAGAATGCTTCCATTTAGCTCTCCTAGGCCTGACTACGGCCCAGAAACCACATGTTCTGCCTACGTTTCTGCAGACTCATCTAACAGATGCCACTGACTCCTGCCAGCACCTCACTGAGGCCCACTAGGCAGCAGCACTGCTGCTCTCTGATCAGCCCAGGACTCACCTCACCACCTCCCACACGATGACCCGGCCCAGGCAGGCACTGCAGCTCTGGATGCTGTCCTGCACACGGGGCAGGAGCTGCAGCAATGAACTCGCAGTCTCCACGTCTTGTCGCTCATTAGATTTGTCTCCGAGTTACCAAACACATCATAGGAAACAAAAAGAGAAAGAAGAGACAGCCTGGAGTTACAGCTGAACGCCGCAGTAGCGGGCAGCTGAGGGAACAGCACAGCCACAGCGGGACAGGCTCTGCTCCTACGTTTGCTGCTGGATGATGGGAATTAAAGCAACAAATGGAAAACCAAATTAGTAGGCTGATCTGGAAGAGGAGAAAAGCTGTTATTGCTTTTTTTTTTTTTTTTTTTTTTTTAATTGTATTAAGTAGATTGCTACAGGATGTCCAGGCTAAAACGCCAACCCATTTAGAAGGCTTCACGCTCTACCTTCAGGCTTATCTACATCATTATCTTTAGACAAACAGTAAGCCCTCTCTTAATCTCTTCCAAAGTTTTCTCAATTGCTGAAAGCCTCGGCGGAGGACAGAGCGGAGAGAACCCCTTGAAAGAACCTTTTCGCTAAGACGACGCTTGCAGGGAAACATCCCTTCCCGCGCGCTGCGTTCCGGGGAGGGAATCCCCAGCGGGCAGACGGGGTCGGGCGGGGATTCCTCCGCCGGGCGGCGGGGCCGCACCCCGACACGCCTCAGCGAAGGGGCGGGCATGGCCGCCGGCTGAGAGCGCCGCGGAAAGTCCCCGCCGAGAGGCAGCGCGGAGGGCCGGCCGCGGCAGGTGGGTCCTCGGCGGGCGCGGAGCGGGGCCGGCCTCTCACAGCCGCCGCCTCGGCCCGGGGAGCGCCGGCGGGAGGCTGCGGGAGCGGGAGCCCGGTGCGAGCGCGGGCGGGGGGCGCCGAGGAGCGTTAGGACACGTGCGTTACCGACAGGTGCGTTACCGGAGCTCGAGCGGCTGAGCGCAGGGCCTGCCTGCCTGCCTGCCTGCGGGAGGAGGGCGGGCGGCTCTCGGCGGGCTCTGCCGTGTGATCGCTGTGCGGGACGCCGCGGAGCGCCGAGCAGCGGTACTCGCTGTTTCTGACAGACCTCAGACTTTCCTCGCATCCACTTTTACCCGAGCGAGAAGGCAGAAGTGTTGAGCGCCTTACTGCAGATAAGGGGGAAGGGAGAAAACGAGCACAGCTGCAGAGGAGCAGAGCGAAAAGAGTGCTTTGCTTTCGTCTGCGGCTGTAAGAGCTGTGGAAACACCGGCCTCACCATCCTGTTTCTTCAGCAAAGAGAGAAGAAGGCACGCCTAGTTGTTGCTAATATGCTGCCGTCCTGCCTGCGACTGTCCTGCCATCCCTGCCGCCTTGCATTCGCCTGGAGAATCAACAAATGGAAAGAACTGTTGTAAGGAAACTTCTGCCAACGTCCAGGGGAAAAGCAGCAACGGGAGGTGTGCAGTGCTGTAGCACCACGCTGCTGCACAGGAAGCCCCAACCAACAGACACAGCTTGGTTACACGGGATCTGCACAGTTAGATTTTAGCGACCAAAAAAACGATGTGTTGGTTTGCTGCCTTTCTGCTTTTGGGATATTCCCACAGTCTCAGTTCTATGTGGATTCTATGAACGTAACAAACTGGAGGACCATAATGTAACACATCCCGCGTGTTGCACAATTTCTATCCTGTGTGGTTATGAAGGAGCTCTGAAATAGCCATCCCTCTGCCCAGCCCGGCACAAAGACCGCCACGCTTCCTATGGGGAAGAAGCACCATCAACCTTATTGCAAAACCTTTCATTAGGAAAGTAGCTAGAAAAATAACTTAAGTTTGCACTGATCTTTTAACTCCCAAAAGAACATAATTTGAGGAATATTAGGCACTTCTTGACAATTTGAAGCTTTTTACCCTTACTTCAGGAAGCTGGAGAATTCAGGTGTAGCTTTGGTAGTTGCTGCGATATGGAACAACTCATTGGAAGAGCTGCCCCAGAAATGAATGTCTACAAACATTTTTTTCTTTCCAGATGTGAAGCGCTGTGCCCTGTGATACTTACTGTGCTGCTTCTTACCATTGGAGGATGGCTGCTCTACTCTGTGAGAATTGCTCCAGTCGGTACCACCAGCCCCAGCTCCACCAGCCCCTGGAGATCAGCCTCATGCTGCTTCTGGTCGTGTTTGGAAAAGTGTGCCTGGATTTCTTCATGCTGCAAGTTAAGCACAAGAAAGTGAAAGTTAGTTTTATGGGATATTTTTGTGTCTCTTTGGCACTTCTTGATTTCATACTGCTGCTGAACATAGCTGTCATCCTCTGTTTGGAGGATTTTGCACTCTGGGGTGTCAGATTTACCAAGTACCACATCTGCCTGTTTACTCAGATCATTTCTCTCACATACGGTACTTTGCATTACCCGGTGTATCTAGTGGCAGGTCTGGATTATTACATGACTATAGCCCAAACCTCTCAATTCCCCCGAAGAGGTCGAAGACTATTTTACATCTTTGTTGTGGTTTTCATATGGATCTCAGGCTTTTTTTGTGTTCTGCAAGTTCCTGCCATCTATGAAGAACTAGAAGTTCGGAACCATTTCTCTCCTTATCAGTGTCCCCTCTACATCAGCATGCAGAGCTACTCGGTCTCAGTTGCCATGCTGGTTCTCATAGGCATGGCTCTCGTGGTTTGCTGGAAGGAAATGATCACCATGCTGCTGTCTGTGAGGGTGGCCTCCTTTGCCAGCCAGCCCGTCCTGATGTTCTCCTATGTGCCCAACAACAACAGCACTTGTTTCAAGCGGCAGCTTCTGACCAGACTCCTCATCTGCTTCCTTGGCACTTGGGCACCTTTTGTTCTTCTCCAGTTTATCATCTTGTTTCTTGGTGCTTGGATTCCAGCCTACATGGAGATGAACGTCCCTTGGCTGTACTTCATCAACAGCTTTCTTATTGCAGTAGCATACTGGTGTCGATGTCACGACGTTGAATTGACAGAGGAGATGTGGTCTACAGATCCATTTGTCAGCTGGAAATTCTGCTTTATGCCATTTAACAATGAAAACACAGAGCCAGCTGAAAAGCTAGGCACAGTAATTGTGATCTGTTAACGAGCTGCTGACTGAAAAGACTGCTAGGGCTGTGTGTACTTTGATGCTCTGTGACCACGTCCTTACAGATGATACAAGGAAGCATCTTCAGAGCTACAATCCACAGGAAGAAAATCCAACATTAAGCACAGTAAGGAACAGTGCACCAGAATGTGCCACACTTCTACCCTGGGCTTTATTTCCATTTCTGAGTATTTAAGAGAAGGCCACTATTTACATAAAATAAGTTCTTGGTTAAAGCTGGTGTTTATTACTACAATTTTACAATTGTTTTAAAATTGAATGATCTCAGGCTTTATAGTGTAAAATGCATCAGCCTTTAATGGGCTGAAGCCTTTTATTATCAGTTACATTGAGGTGACCTACTGTCAAGTTCAAACTGCTGTGGTTTTTTTTTGTTTTTTTTTTTTAAAGTGTATTTTCTTGTTAAACATTTTGTTAGTTTATGTTTTTTTGCATGGTTAACGAGGAATACATTGTTTTAGTTAAAGCTATACCTCCTACAGAACCATAAACTTTGTTTACGGAAACGATTGCAAGATGTGTACTGGCACAGCTATGAGAAAGGCAGTGTTTTGTTATTTCCTTGTTACTGTTCCTCCAAGGTATGTATGTGCACATTAAAAACTACTGAATTACAGTCACAGCAATAAGAGCTTTAATACAAAAGAAACACAAACATGCTCAATTTGAACAGTTAGACCAGACCCCCTGTGCTAAGCAGATGCATCTACTCTTAAAGGTTACATGAGTATGTGCCAAAGGATGGGTTGGACTAGAATAGAATCTGTGTTGGAGCCAAAGTCACACTGACATTAAAGTAGTTCAATTTGCTAAAGCGTGCCTAATGCAGTAAGGGAAAACCTGCTCAGACTTCCAAACTACTTCAATAATTTTCAAGTTCTTGAGGAAGCTCTCAAAGTTACAGGGGATTGATAAATAAGTGATCCACAACCCAAGCAGGCAAATGGAAGTAGTATTTATTTCTGAAGCACTGAACTCACAGTACAATATTGTATTGAAGTAGAAACTATAAGTAAATTATGTTGTAGGTTGGTTAATCATTCACTCAGACCCACAGGGAACAATGGTATCACATAAGAATACTAAAGAAAAATCTGCAGATAACCAAAGGTGCAATTACAAGCAAATTTAAGCAGCAAGTATAAGGTGCTTTGTTTCAGCATTTGTATAGTCAGTTTAAACATTGACAGATTAAAGAAATCTCACTTCTACTGATGATAACAAATGGGAGAATCTAAAATTCATTCACGTGCTAATTGGTAATAAGAAAGTGCTTTAAAAATGATTCACAAGGTGAAGATCATCTGTTTTACACAGTTCACTGTGCTCTTCAACTGCAGAATTTAATTTTGGGGCTACCAGTGACACTATTATGTATTAATTATAGACAAGATTTAATTGCAAGATTTAGTGATACATCAGCAATACATGTGCTAGAAATCATTATAAAACAATATTCTAGTATATCATTCCGTGATAGGAATTCACAATCAAATATCATCTATTAAAGCTTATATTTCTACAATGTATCAAAGTCCAATTTTCATTTCACTGCTTTACCCCACACAGTGCTTCTTGCACCATTCTCTAGGGCTCAGCTTCTTTGAGGTTTCAGTAACCAAAAGGACAGCATTTTTAAAGCAGCAGAAAATGGTTTCTGGAAAATCCATTAAAAAGGCCATAAAAAAAAAAGTAAAGGATAAAAACCTAAGTTTTCAAACTAAACTTATTACTGTGTGTAATAAGAGGCAGCAATGTTTGCAGCAAACAAAGTTTGAGGAGTTTGGCATTACAGAGTGTTTCATCATTTATGCAGGATGATGTATTTGGAGGAAATTCTATTTCCACCTTAGAAGTAGGGAAGCATGTAAAATGAAACAGCCTTAAGGAATCATTCCCTGCCCCCAGTTCCCAGTCACTTGTAGGCAGCGTTTGACGTGCTGTAGGATAGATAAAGTATGTCTAAAGGTATCTTCCAGGTTTTACATCACCTGGACACCCACTGAGAGGGACTTGACAAAATACCAACAAAACCTAGCTCCAAATGTAGTTATGCACCAGGCATTTCAGAAGGTCATGAAGTAACTTATTTGTACCAACTCAGCCAGCAAGGGAAAATATCTCATTTTAGATTCACTTAAAGCCAGACGAAGGCAAGATTATTTCAATAACGTGCATTTCAGATCCCTTTTGTGTGGTTAGTCTCACCCTTCTGATTCACCAATGCAGACAGAACTGGAATTGCAAGAAGCTGGGTAAGGTTCAGACGTGTTTATCAGATTCTCAACTTGTAATTAACGTTTACACATCTTCATCTATTCTGATGCTGCAGAATTCCCTCAGTTGCTGCACTGCTTCTAAAGCCATTTAAAGTTTTTAAGACTGTATATTTACAGGGAAACCACAACAGGCAGGCAAATCAGTTATTAATGTACTGATGTTACATAAATGAGTTACCAAAGAACTCTTTCATACTCTTTGAGAGGAAAAAGTCAAAGAGGGTCAACCTGCAGGCTGCCATTTATAGCCACCACATAGGTAACAGCAGCACTGCAGGTCTACACATAGAGCCCAACTGTGGTGTCTAAGCTTCCTGACGGTAACTGACTTAAAACAGATGAACAGCATCTCATTTTAAGCCCATTTTTATCTTTGACATTTTATGCAGGGAAATACCTGATCCAGTTGTGATCTCATCCTATCATCCTCCTAACAGCCTCTTTTCCACTCTTGGTGCACTTCCTTTTATCTGGTGCTTCTGGGAAGTCTGAACACTGGACTTTGAGTCAAGCAATATAACCAAACACCATTACTCTGCAGAACAGGATTACAGTTTCACTGCAAGCCTGAAAGAGGAGAAGCAATGTCAGGAAGGTGGTAAGACCTGAAACAATATGAATGATAGACAACCACTAAACTCTATACGTCACTACTTGTGTTGTGACAGCAACTAATGACTTTATACCACACAAATGTTTTACACTCCTTTAATTCTTATAGGATTATAAAATATCAGTGAGAACAGCAGGTAAAGTATTAACATTTAATGAGGAACTTCTGCACTGTCCTCATACCAGAGTCCCTTAAAAATCAACACTGATTTTAGTGAGCTGCTCTCTCTCTTTAATGAAATTATTTGGCACTTATCAACAAAATCATCTTTACGCATCTCTCCTGATCAGCACTGGTTTGCTAAGACTACAAAACACAGAGAATACTTGAAAGGAAAGCTGGCTTTGCAGAACGTTTCACTGCTTTTTCAACCACACACTTTGCAAAAAAGAAACAACTACCAGAGGATGTCAACATTCCAGCTGCTAACTACTGACCAGGTAGTGGAGGACAGCACAAGTGCTCCCACACACGGACAGGACTTCACCCACAGAACAGCTGTGTCATAAATTAGTTGTATTTGTGCTTCCAGTGCAGTTCCATTATCAGTAAGGACACCCTTCTTCAGAATCCACGGTCAACAACTTCAAGCCTCTCAACAACCCTATGTAAAAAGTGCTTTTTACACAAAACTAAAGTACCCCTTCAATATTACATTCAATTCAAATATTGCATTCAAAGCAGTATTTCTGATCATCACTCTACAAATGTACATTTGTGCTCAAGTTATAGTAAGATGGAGAAAGCTCAGAGAGCATCTATCTAGACCCTTACCTTAGATCAACGGCTGCAAAAGTCACACTGTAAGCCTACTACATATCTCCTATCACAAGAATATTCATACCTTTCATTTTTTTTTTTTCCTGTCCTTAGCTGTAAGAGACCAGTTAGCAATAGATATAACCTCCAAGTGGACAAGCATCTGTATAAGCATAAGGTATAACAGAGGTTACACAAACCCACACAGCAGCTTAGGGTAGGGCCTTCACTACATGTGAAAGTGCTGACCACGAGACCCAGGAAACAAGCATGACACAAAATCCTCCAGCCAACACAGCTGAGACCCAAAAGTGCAAAAAGCACATTCACAAATCTATAAATGGAGAAGAAATGGCACATGAAAGAGCTCCATGTTCAGCTGTGTCCATCCCTGTTCCACCCAGCACTAACAGCAGTGTATTTAAAACAAAACACGCAAATGCGATCGTTTCTGTCCATCTCTGGTAAACTAAGGTTGGGAAAAGCTGGGAAAAAAATAAAAGCATCCTAGAAGGATTCTTCTGCAGAGTCATTACCTGCATCCTAGAACAACAAGAACCAGAAATCTGGTTAAATGACTCTGTATCTAAATGTATGCTAACTCTCTATGCCATACTGGTAAGAGAAAATAACCCTTCATGCTTTTATGCACGTGATTTTAACATGAATAGCCACAATCAAATCAGCAGAACTATTTGTATTACAACTTATCTGCTTATTTATTTGTAAAACTCAGACTCACAGCTCAGCTGTCACTGCATTCTTTGATGGCCTAGAGCTATACAGTTGTTAATGTACAAGAAATCTCTTAATCTCTTATTGAGCTGTAAGTTTCTGCACTGAGATTGTGATGAGAGCAGTCACCTGCATCAGGCAGCACTTGGAACAGTAAGCCATGCAGCAGCACGCTACAGAGTCTCCATACTTCACAAACTTCTGCTCAAACTACAGTTAAGCAACATCTGAACGTTTCCTTACAGCCAAGATCAAGATCAAGAAGCGATCCAAGGCTATTATAAATCTGCTCAAATACTTATTTGTTCACATTTCTTTGCTCTTGTTGCCACATCTGCTGTTATGAAGGTCTCCTGTGCTATCCAAAAGGCTGGATTCTGAATGTGGCTTATTCAAGAAGTTATTAGAGAAAAAAAAAACATGTTTGCAGGGAAGTAATGAGGAAATGGATGCTTGCAGGACATCAGCTTGAGCAGTCATACTGACTAAAGTGTAACAAAGGTTTTACCCTCCACCTTTTCTGAAAAAATGACAAGGATTAATGAATATAATGGATTTACAACGTAGTCTGTTTAAAAACTCTCATTCTTGTGATCCAATCCAACCGAGTTTAAATTGACAAGATGATTTTTTTTTAATTCTCTTTATAAGCAAGGTGATAAAATCTTACAAATATACCAAACGTGAGGCATGGGCCACTTTTTCTGGGAGAAATTGGCAGTTCATTGGCAAGCCTCAATAAGCAGCAGCCTTAAGCTCCCAGAGCACTGAGCCACTGGAAGTGGCTGAGCTTCCTCAGCACTTTGTTCCTACTACAAAGCAGGGCTGCTGAGTGATAGGAGCCAGAGGGCGTGGGGCAATCTGCACACCCACTTCAACCATCCAGGTGCATTTCTGCAAAACACAAAATACATTTTGAATCTGAGACAAGTAATTGCTGTAATTCTATTGGAAGAAATCTTGATAGTCGGGTTCAGTTCAGTGCTCTGAGAAGGCTGCCCTGAGCTAATGCTGCACTTTCAATTACCAACTAAAGTAGGATGGAAGCTGATGGAGAAAAAGGGAAAAAGCCACCCAACACATCTCCATTTCAAGCTAAAATCCTACAGCAACCTGCATTCATTTCTACAGGAACTGAAACGTAGCAGGGATTACTGTGAGACACAGCGCACAGAACGTGAACGCAGAATACAAAGTCCCATGAAGTACAACAAATGAAAAGGATTTATAGCATCCACATCTGGTGTGATGGGAGCACCTTAATAAATCCGTTAAAATCAGCAAGACTTGCTCTTCTGAAAGTGGGTTGAACTTCATTTGTGA